ATTTTTGAGGAGGGGATGACTACTGTGGTTACTGTTAGGGATTTCAGTGTTATTTTCGATGCATATTCCCAGTTTGAAGAGAGCATGGTTGCTATTAAGTTGGAGAAAATGGATTTGAGTGATGAGGAGGAAAATGAGGTTGAAGAGAATTGTGTTGAGTTGGCTGAGGATGTTCGCTTGGATTGGAGTTCCAAGTTTGAGAGGAAGTTACTTAATGGGTTTTGGTTAGATGATGATAATGACTCGGATTTGATGTTAGCACGTCTGGGATATCTAATGGATAGAAGGCCGGAATTAGCAAATAGTGTGCTTCTTCGACAAAATCCACATAATGTGGAACAGTGGCATAGAAGGGTCAAGCTATTTGAGGGTAATCCTACGAAGCAGATATTGACTTATACTGAGGCTGTGAGGACTGTTGATCCAATGAAAGCAGTGGGGAAGCCTCATACTTTGTGGGTTGCGTTCGCTAAATTGTATGAGGATCATAAGGATCTTGTCAATGCAAGAGTAATTTTTGACAAGGCAGTGCAAGTGAATTACAAGACTGTAGATAATTTGGCTAGCGTATGGTGTGAGTGGTCTGAAATGGAAATTAGACACCAGAATTTCAAAGGTGCACTGGAGCTGTTGAGACGGGCCACTGCAGAACCATCAGTTGAGGTCAAACGCAGAGGTACTTTTAAGCCGTCCTTATTTACTGGGTCATACTTGTATTTAGTAATTGTCATTTGCTTTTATGGTGGCATGTTAATTTTGTCTCTTGGCAGCAGCAAATACTGAAATCGGAGCGTGGTTATCATACCAATTTCAAACTTATTTGAGTTTTATTACTGAAAACTTATGGAAGCAAATATGCAACAATTCTAAGCAGCCCCAAAACATACAAAACCATAATTTACGATAGAAATAAGGTTTACGAGGCTTCATAATGCTTTTCTAGTCATAGAGCTTTTAAAGTCGGGTCAATTTTTTTTAAAGTGAATATAATGATTTGACAAATTGTGGCATGATTTTAGTCATTTTATTGGTTGATTTTTTGAATAGCCTCTATTTGGATGGTGAAAATCAGGTACTAACCTGACCTCTGATTCTTGGTTTCTGTTATAAACTTGCAGTTGCTGCTGCTGGAGATGAACCAGTTCAGATGAAGGTTCACAAGTCCTTGAGACTGTGGGCATTTTATGTCGATTTGGAGGAGGGCCTGGGAACCTTGGAGTCCACTCGAGCAGTGTATGAACGGATACTGGACCTGCGCATAGCCACCCCACAAATCATCATCAATTATGCTTGGCTTCTAGAGGTATGGACATTCCTTCTATAATTGCTGTTATGAAACTTATGTTCTTTTTAAATATTATCTTTACTGGCTGGAATTGACAAATGTTAACTGTATTGTCTTATTCAGGAACATAAATACTTTGAAGATGCATTCAAGGTATATGAAAGGGGAGTCAAAATATTCAAGTATCCTCATGTGAAAGACATATGGATCACATATCTCTCGAAGTTCGTGAAGAGATATGGCAAGACAAAACTGGAGCGGGCGAGAGAGTTGTTTGAACATGCTATTGAAATGGTATGCACTTTATTTTTTTCCTCTAGATTCTTATTTGGTTGTTTCAGTTATTGAATTCTTGCCAGCTGTCACATATTTCTGCTGTTACAAAAATTCTGATGAGTCCTGCTGTAAATGGGGCTGGTTAGTCTCCTCAATTGCTCAAGTTAGTTCTGAGTTCTGATCTTTTGTGACTGCCTTCTTAAACCATTACAGGTTCATGGGGTCTTCATACATCTTGATATTACTTGTATGGCTGACATATCTCTGCAGTTGGCCTAGCTTCATTTCCTTGTTGTCATGTTGATTCTGTTGCCTATTGCCTTGTTGATAGATTATACCTTTTTGCTCATTATTTTGGGACTCGAGGTGACCCATTTTGTCCCTCAGATATACCTTTTTATGCTCTAACTTCTGTTTGGCTTTGGCTTAGCCTAGCCCCAATGTGCTCCTTTTCTCCACCTTGCTGCTAATTTAGTGGCCTGGCATCTTTATCTAGTCTATTGATTATCAGAAAATAAAAGCTTAACCTTTTTAGGATTGACTATCCATGAGTTTTTCACTGTCAAACTGTGTTTCCTATTGTTTCTCAAGTCATCATCTTTGTAGAAGCTTTAGCAGCTCTTAGCGTTGCTTATCTTATTTTTTCCAATTTTGTGGGTTTTAGCAGAGATTATGACCTGTCATCTCTTTGCAAATAGACCAAATCCCTGCAAATGTCATAGACCTTTAAAGATTCTTCCCATCTTTTTTCTGGGACTGAAAACCTGATCAATGTACGAACATCGTCCACCTTTTATAGTTATCCATATATTCTCCAGGTTCTCTTTTTTTTTATGTTAACCATGTAAAAGTCAATAGTTTCTTGTTGACATATGTATGCTGTGAGCCTGTGATTCGTCTTGTATTTGAACTCAATCTTGCTAATTGTAGTTTTTTTTTATTGTTCCACGACTCTGATGCTGAATGTATTTGAAGTGGAAGTGTTTTGCTATTGCTAATATGTTTTGAACTTTGGATGCTAACCTTTTTGTGTTATTTTCTTGTGCTAATCAGGCTCCTGCTGACTCAGTGAAACCCTTGTATCTTCAATATGCAAAGCTAGAAGAGGACTATGGTTTGGCAAAGCGAGCCATGAAGGTATATGATCAAGCAACCAAGGCTGTTCCAAACAATGAGAAACTGAGCATGTATGAAATTTATATAGCTCGTGCAGCTGAGATATTTGGTGTTCCAAAAACAAGGGAAATATATGAGCAAGCAATAGAGTCTGGTCTTCCAGACAAAGATGTAAAGACAATGTGTTTGAAGTATGCTGAGTTAGAGAAGAACCTAGGAGAAATTGATCGTGCACGTGGCATATATGTATTTGCATCTCAATTTGCTGATCCACGTTCTGATTTGGATTTCTGGAATCAATGGAATGAGTTTGAGGTTCAACATGGAAATGAAGATACCTTCAGAGAAATGTTGCGTATTAAACGAAGTGTGTCTGCAAGCTATAGCCAGGTATGTTTATTATTGTTTTTTCTCAGGCTTGTTCATTTTAAAATGAGTTATTACTGTGCTAAGAGAGCAGTCTAGATCACCGGCTTGGTTTACTTTCTCTGAAAAAACAGTTAAAATAATAGTTAAATCACTTGCTTTTCCATCTTTTCTTCTTGTCAAGCATTCAATGCTAATTTCAGACCTCTCTATAGATTCACAGTTAGCTGGACATTGTACCACTGTAGTGTCTCTAGGTCATGATTGCCTGAAACCTAAGTGGATATCATGGGCACATGTACTAAGGACTCTCAGTCTTGGTCATAATCAGTGTGTTATCTTTACTATTACATTATTCTGAAGGGGTTTGTGTTTGGATTTACAACTTCTGACTCTTGTTTTTGTTGTTGCAGACACACTTTATTCTGCCAGAGTATTTGATGCAGAAGGATCAGAGACTGACCGTTGATGATGCCAAAGACAAATTAAAACAAGCTGGGCTTCCTGAAGATGAAATGGCCGCTCTAGAGAGGCAATTAGCCCCTGCAGTCAACAACTCTACTGCTAAAGATAGCAGCAGGACGCTGGGCTTTGTGAGTGCTGGAGTGCAATCTCAGTCGGATGGAGGGGTGCAGGTTACCGCAAACCATGAAGACATCGAGCTTCCAGAAGAGAGTGACTCTGAAGACGATGAAAAAGTCGAAATTGCACAGAAGGATATTCCCTCTGCTGTCTTTGGAGGACTGGCTGGGAAGAGGGAAGAGCCTGAGAAAGATGATGCTAAGGATGGTGGCGGTCGTCTTGGTGCCCTTGAGAGAATTAAGAGATTAAAACGGGGAGGATGATTGCTCCGAATTCAACTCCGGTGAAATTTTGAAGAGCTATATTTTTTACTGTCATGTTTGAGACTTGCTGCTTTTTGTCTCTTGTATCACAAATTGTTCATTGAATCCTAGACGTGTATATTTCCATCAAAGCTATGTAGCATCCAGCTTTTTTCTTCTTTATTATCGCAACTTGTGATATTCTTATACGGTTCCTCTCAGGCTGTCCCCAAGTGCCCTCTGCATTCCTCTAACTAAATAGCATGGGCAGGCTAGGGTTTGCAATTCGTTTTGTATGGTATTCAGCATACCTAGAAGCGCACATGGAAGGCAAAGTTTCTGATTCCACTAGTTCTGAGGACATGATCAAGGCATGCCATTGACAATTTGGTGATGAGGCTGGAGATAAAAAGTTAGAAGTGACATCTTCCATTTTTTTTTTTTTATAAAGTGATTACATGTTTGAATATTGCATCTACGTATTTTTTTTAATGATGACTTTTACTGACTAATGTAAGTAAACCAAAAGCTTCAAAGAGGCTCCCTGAAAGCTTGATCATGAAGCGAGGCTCATGGAAAGAAGCTTGAAAAGAGTGGAGGCCAATAGAATTTCAGATTGCCTCTCATCATAATCAATCCATCTTCACCACACTGTTAGATTTGCATCATCATGAAACTGAAAAATATTGATAAAATAAGTTAAAAAGAAAAGTTTTTTTCTTCCCAGAATCCCCACAATTTTTATTTTTCTTGGCCTTTTGGCTACTACTTCCAGTTAAAGTTATGCATAAATAAATAACATCAATTTCTGTTAAAAGAACCCTAAAAAAAAACAAAAACAAAAAAACGAAACAAAACATCCAATTACGAGAAAGGAAAAATACTAATACTAATTAGCCACAATTCATTCACATTAATAAAAAAGAACACAATTATATATATTTTTTTAATTTACAAACATTTCTATAAATACAAATTTCTTAATACCATCCGTATATGGAATCTAGTCTAATGGGAAATTAAAAAAAAAAAAAACCAAATTCTTTTTAGCTTCGAATTTTTAATATAATCTGCCAATAATCCAAACCCATCAAAACCCTTTAATCCAACAACATGATTATCTTAAAAATTAATTAATGCCCTCCACGGCTAATCATCTCCTTATACTGATTTAATGACTCTTGCCTTTGCAGCCTCATTTCCTCATTAAACTTCTTAATAAAAGCCTCCACTCGCCGATTCAAGTCATCTTGACTCAGTGAAGGCTCTTTCCTTAATTTCCCAGGAGATGATGAGTTGACAGGTGGCATCTGGTAATTGGTCCTGTCCTTAAACGTCTGTGATTTCTTCACAGCATGTGGGTCCACTTGACTTGTACCTAGTTGACTGCCCTGATTCTCCCACGTGTCCTTGAACGTCTCTGATTTCTTCACGTGCCTTGTTAACGGTATAGCACGTCCCTCCGTTATCGTTTTCCATGTGTTCTCTAACGTCTCGTGCCGTTTGGGCTTGGCCACCCTTAACGCCCTTCCACCTAAAACACAACATCGTTAAACCAATTAAGTGACTGTTTTAACCTTTCTACTAAACTCTATCATTGCATTCATACCATCTGAGATTTGACCTTCATATGAGGGTAAGTTTTGGAATTTGAACTGGTGCGTCAACCATACGCCATGTTGGAACTTTATTTTGTCTTGCAAAAAATCATATTAACTAATAGTTGGAAGAACAAAAAACGACGGCGTTCAAGCGTAAAATTCAAATTTCAATTTAGCACGAAAAAAAAGATGTGATCACGGCGCCGGAAAAAAGCCAGGTTGGCACCGACCAAAAAACGCTATTTTTAACTCGAAAATGAATGAAATAGTGTGGGTTGTGAAATCTGGCCGGAGAGAAAAAACAAAACAAACAAAAACAAATTGGCTTGATAAAAAAGAATAATGGATATATGTTACCTTCAGGACTCGCTTTAACAACTTTCCGGTGTCCGAACCTAGAAGAAACCAGGGGTTTCTCTTCCGGATAGTCCAGCAGCAACAGATTATTATCCAATGAATCACTACGCTTTATCCGCGTAGGCTTCGATATCACAAAATCATCAATCACTTCATTTTTACTCTCGTCCGACACCACCACAGCATTAACAATATTCTTATCCTCAACAACAACTTGATCGTCTGCTTCTTCTTCTTCGTCTGCTGCTGCTGCTTCTTCCCCATCCGGATAGACAATCTCAGCCCTAGATTCCACGCCGCCACCAAAATGATCAGATCGAATCTCCACCGTTGAAATCTTCACGTCACGAACATAATCATCCATCGGGATTTTCTCAAACTGATCATGAGTACTCCTATCTGTGTTGTGGCTGTGTTGGAAACGTGAGGAAGCAGCGATGGTAATGATGATGCAGTTTATGATAACATAAAGATAAGGAGGTTTAAGCCAGGAAATTACAGAACCAAAAAGAACAGGAGCTTGATTCACAGAGAAATCATGCACTAATGGAACAGAGTATTTCAGACACAAAGACAAGAACAGCACACTGGTTGAAATCAAAAGAACTTTTAAGGAAAGTGAAAGTGAACCCATGTTTTCTTTTGGCCTGGATGTTAAGGATTTGAGAGCTGGAAATGGGGAGGTGGTGAGTGGATGTGTTAAGTGAGGCTATGGGGAAATGGAGGATATATAGAGAGAGGAGAGTGTGAGGAATATGGAATTTGGAGCGTTGGATTTAAGACGGAGTGGATTTGTATGGTCGAGATTTGTGGGTTGGGTGGTGTATACTTGTGGGAGGGGGAGGCTGATGTTCTTCAAGCTAGCTTGATGCTTTTTTAGAATATCTGTGGGGACCCACTTGATTGGAAAGGAGGTGACAGTGGAGAGAGGTTGTAAAATGTGAAATTAATTTATGTGTGTGTTATTTATGGTAGGTGTGACGTGGCAATTGGTGCCATCGGAATGATAGTTTGATTCCACGAATTTACCGCGGTGATTTTCTGCAACTTGGAAGTTTAAAAAGAAAAAATAGTCGGCAAAGTCAGTAACTAGTTAATAAATGCTGGTCAAATATTCCAAAATATATCTTTCTTTGGTTACACGATAGGTAGAATGGTGGACTAATGGTAGTCTTCTTTTATCTTGAAATTTATCACATTCTTATAGGTTTGAATATACAAGAAAACGCATGATGTATTTAATTTTGATATGACTTAAATGCATCCTAATTATTAAAAATAAAACTAAATTTATTATCCATACAATTTGTCTTTCATTTTAAATTTAAAACCCGAGATTTATCTTGAAATTTTTCTTTAAAAAAAAAGACACGAAATAAAATTGTTATGATATATATTTAATTTTGATATGACTTAAATTTATTATCTAAGCATGTTTTATTTTATGGTTTTTTTTTTTTTTTTTTTTTGGGAGACTCAGACTTGTTAGCATGATTATTACGTGATCAAACCGAACCTCAAACTTCATGTGTCTTGCATATGTATATGTGGTCAAGACAAAATTATACTGATCTCATGCTCTCAAATAAATCGAACCCGAAAAGTGGAAAACTCAATAAAAAAAATTAATTAAAGTAAAACGAGTTCTAATTATTTAAATTATTGATTTTAAATTTGAGTTTTTAGAGATATAATTTTTTTTTAAATAATCATGTCTGTTTATACGTCAATCGAACAACCAAAAATTAGATTCAATATCACAATCATATACCCTAGAATAAAAAAAAGAAAAAGAAAAGGGAAGCTGACTGCAATTCAAAAATTATTTTTATCTCCGTATTTTTTTGGATAGAACTTGCTATCGTACCTTGCTACATCAATAGGAATCTTTGTTATTGTAGGGCCAGAGCAGCATTTATTGACATTGAAAATGCTGCAACAAGGGGAGCTTCCTTCCAAAATACCAATTGGATTCCTTCTGCTCTAATCTTTATAGGGAAAGGACACAGCCCTTCCAATTTTAGGGATTTCGGAGTTTATTATTGCACAAGTGGATTTAGCCTTTCTTGTGCCAGAAACATTTGAATATTTAAATGACCCTTTCCTCAACGGTCATATTATTTACCGTTACCTTCGCAGGCTGTACCAAGATCCAGGAGAGCTGGCCCAGGGGGTGCGTGCTGGCTCAAACCTGGCACGTGCCCGGTGCTTTGGTGGGTGCACCCCAAGCCGACCAATACTCTTTTTAGTGCATAGTACAAAGTGATTTTTAACTTTAAAGGTCTCCGAATTGCTTTTTAGAAAAATAAAAGGGCTTTAATGAGTGTAGAAACTTAGAAAGTAACGATCTTTAGACCCTACCATTAGAGTCAAGAGGGTACACGTCTGCCTAGCTTGGCCCCACAAACATGATCGAGCAAACCTTTTTCGTCCTTTCTTTTCTCCTCGTGTTTAAGGGCAGTCTCTGAGCAGGTGGTTTCTTTGTCCACGGAAGCACCAACCATTTGATTGAAGAAAAATTGAAATCCCACATAAAAACGGCAACGAAAATGCAAACATCCACACATATGGAATTTTGCAATTATTATATATTGACTTTCGACACAATTTATTTGACTAGGAATATTTATCTTAGAACCATATCAAATTGAACGATGATTTCGTAAACATTTAATGACAAAATTTTAAATGAAAATTTCGTATAAATAATCTTATACAGATAAATTTAACATTATTTTTTTATTTAATAATTTTTAACAAGTTGAATTTAAGACATTAAATCGAAAAAAAAACGTAAAGATATCATCGCAACAGCTTGAGGTTTTTAATTAATACAATCGAACGAGTGAATTTATAATAAATTGTTTTCTTGCGGTTTTTTTATGTTGGAACCCTACAAAAGAATATGGATCTTAGATGCTCTAACTCATTAAGTCCTTAAATATTTGTACCTCGTTTAATTTGGCCTTCTAAGAATATGGATGTGTTTGGATGGTTTCTGATTCAAATGCGTATGTGCTTAGAAAAGACGCGGTAAGCATACGAAAGGAACAAAACCCAGTGCGAGGAAAGTATGTATGTTTGTATTTCAGTGATCAGGTTTAAGAAATCCAAGAAAAAATGTAATTCGAGAGGCACCTGGACCAGGGTCTCTTGACCTACCCATATGATACATGCCTGACTACCAATTTTATGAAGAGCCCATGAACATCATGCATGGCAAGCATCAAATCCCATATATATATATATATATATATATAATTCATGGGTCGAGATATGCATAATACATAAACAGATGAGGCGATATGCATTTAGATTCAAGAATTCCACTTTTGGTCAGAGACTTCGGAATTTGAATATTAGTTGGGATGAATCTGTATCTAAAAATTAATTAATTAATTAAGATTATTTTATTAGTTTTGGTATAAGTTGAAGTTTTATATATGAGATGAATTGACGGTGCAAAGTTGAGATTGCCTAAAGATGAATACAAATATTGTGATAGTATCAGCGTCCACATCTTATTTTTTAAATGCAAAATTAACTTGATGAATTCCGAATGGAATTCACTAAAAATTATCCAATTATTTTTTTTTTTAAGGCAAGTTAAAATAATTTAATATATATATATATATAGTCAAACTCAAATATGTCTATTTAAATATAAATGATATGACATAATTTTAGTAATTAATGATGATTTTTTTTTTAATAAAAATACCTTGCTCACAGCAATTGTGAAAAAGTTGAAAAAACTTGAGGGGACTTTTGGTATCTTTTGCAAACTTTTGTTAATAAATTCTTTTTTTCAAAGTTTTCTCACTGTCATGTGACATAATTTATAAAATTCTATTTGTTTGGATTTTGATAATGCATCTGCCTATAATTCAAATTGTGTAATATTATAATTTTTTATTTTTTATTTTTTACAATTCTCACTATTTGTATTCCTTTACTTAAATGGTCTATCGTTGCTATTATAAATTACAATATGAATTCTTTATATGTTGGCTAAATCATTTTATCAATTTTTAATAATTAACCTCCGTAGAAGATCATATTTTACTCTTAATTTGATAAAGACATCTAACACTGTTAATTAAGTATTATCTTCTCGCGTAAGATTCTACAACCACATAAATATTATTTGACTCTCTACGTGACACTTGTGTTCGTTAGTTACAAGACACAAGGCGTCCACGACTGCATAAATCAACAAGAATTAATTGTTTATGTTTCCTGTCTACATTAACTTGTGTCTTTACTATGTTTTATTTGATTAATTATCACTCTATCCATCAATCTCACAAACATATCATCCTCTTGATTGACTATTAGTTCCAGGATCAATATCTACTATGGCAGACAAAAATGAGATTGCAGCTTCTTGAGGGAGAAAAAAAAAAACACTATACACCGTTCAATTTTATTTTCTTAATTATGATCCTATATTATAGGCAGATCATTTGCTCTATACTAGCTACACGTGTATGCGTGGACCATTCTGATTTGATCAAGTCTCCTGAAGTCAACTTAGCCAATATTTGACCTAAACCTACCATTACGAGATGCATTTGAAGATATACACGTAAAATTAAAGGTGGTTCTGTAAGTTGTACGATAGGTAAACATCTTAATCAAATGATGAGCTAAACAATAATTTCCACAAAAACACCTGTTTATGCAACCTCCAAATCCAGCAAAAGAAGATGGGAAGTTGGCCCATGTATATTTGTGTCCTCTGCGATATATGTTTTCCTATTGTTGCATGCCAACGAATAAAGCCCCAGCTGCCCAGAATAGACATTTTAACATATATTTGGGGATTGTGACATGCAGCTCAAGCCAAATTCACTTCTGGGTTCATTTCAAGCAGTTAATTTAGCACTTTCTGGAGGGTGGAGGCTAGGGTCAAGTCTATCCCTAGGTGCAGAAATTGAACTAAACAGAGTGAAGAAGAATTGTATGACACGTAAAATTTTTGGAGAAGGATCCTTAAGATAGAGATAAATTGTCGGTTCGTTTAATTAAAATTAATCTCATAACTGGATAAAGTAGGATCAGTCCACTGTTGTTTATGGTTTGAGTTTATTTGTGAAATATTTTTCATTATTCAAGTTTATGAAAAATATATTGGAAAGGGATATATGTAGAATCGATGTCCACCATTAATTCTAGTGTTAATATCAGAATGTGAATCGTGGACAACTTGAGTTGTGAATATCGTGGCCAAGCATCCTCGGTCCACATGATTTTCCATATAAAAGACAGAATTGTTATAGCAAGTGAGTTGCCAATTAAGAAAAAAAAAACCGTGTAGACCCTAGGCAATGATGAAATATTTCGAAGTTCATAGTCTATATTTTATTGCTTTTTTTTTTTTTTTGTTGTTCACACGGTATAAAATTATATATATTGTTCAGATTTTTTTTTTGGATTCAAACGGTTGAAATTAGTTTCCTTTCAATATATACTCGTACGATCTTAAAAAAAAACATGATTCTCATCAACCTATCAACATTTAAGAAAATAAAAAATTTTAAATATCGATTCTAAAATTTCAATTCGAGAAATTAAGTGAAATGGTAAATTTCATTTACCATCTAAGAAACGATTTAGATTCTTTTATTTGAACTTAAAGGAGTAGAAATATTATAATATAAAATCAAAGATCTTAACCCTTATTATTATTTTTTTTGTTATACTCTTTCCATTCTGATTTGTTTATCCACCATTGAATTATCATTTATTGTTTTGGTTGTTGTGCAGATTTTTAAAACTATCTCGATTAGAAAAATATAGAAATCCATATTTATATTTTGAAAGAATACTTTATTTAATCAAATAATTTACGATAAAATTAGAAAATCATATGTTTTTCTCTGTATGCTTTATTTGCAGATGGTAAGACCAAGAAGTACTTTTTAATGGGAGTGGATATACGAATCTTCTATTCATAGCTCCACGTAAACATAATCCAATAACGTAATTATATCCAAAGAAAAAGGGCATCCAATTACGTATTATGTCGAACAGAAGAAGAAAGATAGCTAGGGACCAAGAAATCTACATCCCTTGAGCATTCATTGTCCATGGCCGGGTGGCAAGTAATTATCTGTGAGTTATCAAGTATGGATAAATGACCGGGTCCCATAGGCAGTTAACGTTTGATCTGTTCAACGAAACTGAACTAACCGTCAGCCTACTTGTCCAAGAAATTTCTGGTCCATGCATCCTCTCACAGACAGACCTACCAGTGTTCGTAGAATTTCTCCATGTATCTGTTTAATATATACGTACGTAGACAGCATTTTTATGGTTAATTTTGGCGTGGATAGTATATTTTTGAATCAGATGCATGGAAGATGTTAAGTGAATTGGATTTTGATACGAAAAACTAATCCGAAAATACCTTGAGATGAAAAATAAAACAAATATGTAGAAAATTACGAGAATAAAAGTGTGTTTAATTAGTATGTTAGACAAAACTAGAAAAAGGGAACGGGATAAGTAAATATTTTTATTTTGTGATTAATACACTGGACATGATGAAGTTTCATCATTTTGATTCTTGAAATTTTTTTAATAATTTATTTTAGTTTTCATATTTTATTTTCATGACATTTTAGTTCTTATTTAATTTTTTTTTTTTTGGTATATATATGCAGTTTATTCTTTAAATTATATAAATATTACAATTATACTCTTACATGTAAAGATTTATTTTTGTAGAATATAGGCAAGCTTACTCGAACTTCAGTCGATCTAATTAAAAAGCAAATGAGTGGTAAATAAACAATTAATAATTAATAAATGATAAATTTGTTCATGGCATTGGGAAATTTTGTCCACATCATGGTAAGAGAAGAATCTTGCTTTTAGAATAATTTAGAACAAATCATGTATTGCAAAACTTCTCATGTTATATCCAATATGTATATCAAATACTATACAATTTATCTTGTTATAATCAATTTTATTTTATTTAGCATATCAAATATATCCTAATTACAGAAATATGGAATTCAGCTGCATGTCAAATGAAAAAAAAAAAACTATTCAAAATGTTACTGTAGCTTATTCAACCCTTAATGGCCTTCTTCATCAAGTAATTTCAAATCAATGTTTACACGTTACCTAAGGATTGGACGGTGGTACAATAACAAAAAGTCAAAAAAAAAAAAAAATTATAATTACAAAAAATAGATTAGAGTTCCCAATCGGTGGCTAATCAAGGACTTGAGGTGAAAAGTCATTTGGGATTTGTTGTGACACATTTTGGTCAAAAAGTAAAGGATCGAAGTTTATATCGATTTTTAGAAGATTTGTTTTATGCATTTCAAAATGTAATGGCCATAATCATTCTATTTATTTGTCAAATAATTAATTGTGTAAAATTTCTATTTAGGCTACGCTATTTGTGCTCTGAAAAATATCATCCAATTAACATGACCAAAAAATTATAAGAAACACAATCTCATGACCTCACATTTGCATCAATATCACGATTGGTTAGTTTATTGTAATCTCCATTAAAGAAAATTTTCTCATAATGCACAAGACACTGGCATATTACTTTATTGTACAATACTGATGAAGTCAACAGAGAAGAATATCGAGTCAACTATATGGAAAGTCGGAAATCCATGCATTTGTTTACACGTGTTGATAGGTAACCTTCTTTCATCATGAGCTTTGAGACTAATGTATGAATCACTCGTTTTGCACGCTTTCACTACTCGACGTCGGACATGATATTCAAAAATATCTAAAATTTAATTGAATATTTATAAATTTATTTATAGAGTTCGGAGTTATCACTTAGTATTAAAGAAACTAGGAACCTAAAATAGGCATTGGTTTAGAGATTCTATAGTAAATAGTTGATTACACTTTTAGAAAGATATGGATCATCAAAAAGCACCCTTTCGAAGAAAGGTATCACTTCTAGTTTAGTTTTGAATTTATCTCTTAAAATGTTTTACTTATGTCAAATTATTTTCTGATTTTTAAACTCTTATTTTTTTTAAAAAGAAAAAATTGAATTCTTATTTTTGAGTATGACATCGTATTGAAACGATCATTGGTCTCCTTCATCGGGTGACACATCGGTTCAAACATCGGATCCACTAAAAAAAAAAAAAAAAAGCCTTGACACAACCAGCGTATCGAAGGACGTCTTAAGTAAAAATGGATTTTTGATGACGTCGATCCCTATAAGATAGGAGACTTCATCGAAAAATTTGGATATTCTTTTTAATGACGTTAGTCCCTATCGGATAGGAGACTTCGTCAAAGATTTTGGATATATATTTTTTATTTTCTTATTTTCTAAAAAAAAAAACCTCTAAAATTGTAATTAACTAAAATCAACTAAAATAAATTTCGAGAAATTAAATATATTAAAATCACCATCCGTCCTAATAATTAGGAGACTCGTTAATCTAATATTTCAATCTCGAAAAAAAAATACATATTAAAATAAATTTCATGCCTAAGAACCTCTAGATTTTCCGACATGCATAAGATCAAAAATTATTACAAAACACATAAAAAAAAAATCACCTTTACTAAAATTACAAAAATGCCCCTAGAATACCAAGGTTCACTACCAAGTGACCGTTCGTCTTCCGGTGTCCCGGCGCGTGGACTACCCCACCTTGTAGATCCGGTCAGTACGAGTCCAACGGTGATAATTTCATCTCGGAGACGATGTTAGAGGAGGGAGATCGAGCCTCCAAAGGTCCGGTCGGATCTCCCTTCTTCACCGGCGATGAATTCGACCTCCTCTCGGGATTCTAAGCACACTCGGTCGACTTGCAAGATTGAGGGAAGGATTTATGTGGTGGTGAGGGACTTCAATTCTTCCCGGATCGGCCAATTTTTTCGGATTTCTCAAAATGGGTCAAAAACGGATCTCTTTCAATTAAATCGTTTTTCGATGTCGTTGGATCGAGATTTTTGAATGGAAGCACTTAGGGGAGATGGGCGATCGGGTTTGTGGTGATAGATCTTGTGTTGGCAACCGGAGTTGAGAGAAACGATTGGGTATTTTTTCGGATCGGGTTGTGGTGGTTTAATCTTTAATTTCTCTCTCCTCCGTGAGTGTTTCTCTTTCTAATCGGTATGGATCGATTGATCTAGTGATGGGCTATATGTGAGCGTGTTGATCGGGGTCAAAACGGATCGAAAAATGATCGATTGGAAGATGAAACATTCGGCTGGGTAAACGGGTTTGGTATGTGGGTCGGGACGTGTTTAGCTTCTTCTTTTTTCAGTATTTTTTTTTTTTTGGTCGCTTTTTGTTTTTTTGTCTCCCTCCCGCAAATCGAATCCGAAAGCTTTTTATAAGCTGAAACCTCCTAAAATCTCTCCAAAATCAATCAATTTAAATTCAAATTTTAACTCGTCAAATCTTAATTTTGAGATTTGATTAGCTAAAAAATAAGGAGATTCAAATTCGAAAAAAGATTAGTGAAAGATTTCGACGGATCTTCGAATGATTTAGGAAGATTCAGTATTTTTTATATTTTTTTTCCTTTTTTGTATTTTGTATTTTTTATACTTTTTTATTTTATTTTTTTCAAGGAACCCAAAATTGGGTTATGACACACACTTTAAAGCACTTAAGGTTGCCACTTGCCATGAATTTGCTTAACTCTTGCAACAAAGTTTCTGTAGAATAAACGAAAGGTGAGGGAAGGATCAGCACAGGTAATCTCATCAAAGAAATCTGTGGAAATTTTTATTCCCATCAAATCGAATCACATAAATTTATGAGTGTGATATTAAATTACAGAGAAAATAACACATTTTTCTACCAACTTGTATCTATTCAACAGAGAGACTTCTTATTTCTTTAGGGGCTAGATGTGTTCATAAATAAAAATTCATCATATTCTCAATTAATTAATTTTTCTCTTACAATTAAGGTTTTTTTAATTAATTGCACATTGCAGTTCTAAGTAATAATATGGATTTTAGGTTTTGAGTTTGTCCCATTATAAACGGTTCATTCTTAACCCATTTTCAACAATTTCAATCATTTAAAATGGGCATTCTAATCAAACACAAAGTAATCTATTGACAAGCAAACGTCAATTTTTAGACCAGGTTTAAAATTGATTTCTATTGTTAATATTTTTGAAAATTTATTTTTAAAATATTCGAAGTTGTACATTAGAAAGTGTTCCTTAATCACATCTACGACGAAATTAATTTTGAAGTACATGAAAATTGGTTCAGTAACGTTAATTCTTAATGCTCAACCTACAAAAAAAATAAAAATAAATATAGACATTGTGATTCACTACAAGAAAACTGTCGATTAGCGACAGAAAGTCTACTGTATCTATTTTGTAACGAATTTGCCACTAAATTGCAACAAACATAGTTTCAAACAGATATTGCAACAATATTGTGATGGAGTACTTGCGACAGATAGATTTCTGTCTCTAACTGCCAATGCACAAACACTAACGACGGAATAACGACGTTCTTATGAGGAAAATTAACGACAAAATATAAATTTCATCGCTAATGAACATTTTTGATTAATTCAGCGATGGAAAGATAAATCCATCGCCATTTAGCGCTGGTATAGTGCCAAGTTCACATCTGGGGTCCTATATGCAGAAATTGAACTAAACAGAGTGAAGAATTGTATGACACGTAAACTTTTTGGAGGATGGGGGCTAGGGTCAAGTTTATCTCTATATGCAGAAATTGAACTAAACAGAGTGAAGTATTGTATGACACGTAAACTTTTTGGAGAAGGATCATTAAGATAAAGATAGACGATCGGTTCGTTTAATTAAAATTAATCTCATCATAAAGGATAAAGACTTTCATAACTGGATAGAGTAGGATCAGTCAACTGTTATGGTTTGAGTTTATTTGCGAAATATTTGTCATTATTCCAGTTTATGAAACATATAGTGGGCAAGCTAAAAAAAAGTAATGAAATGTAATCTTGGAAAAGGGATATATGTAGAATTGATGTCCACTATTAATTCTAGTGTTAATATCAGAATGTGAATCGTGAACAACTTGAGTTGTGAATATCGTGGCCAGCATCCTCGTTCAACATGATATTCCTTATAAAAGACAAAATGTCATAGCAAGTTGCTTACCAATTAAGGGCAAAAAAACAAAAACGGGTAGACCCTGAAAATGATGAAATATTTCGAAATTTATATTTATTTATGTATTTTGGATTCAAACGGTTGAAATTAGTTTCCTCTGAATATATATATATATATTAATTAAGTTTTTTCCCTCGAACAATCTTAAAAAACCATGATCCTCGTCAGCTTAACAGCTTTTGAGAAAACAATTTTTTAAAAAAATCGATTCTAAAATTTCAATTCGAAAAATTAAGTTAGATGGTAAATGAAATTAATTAGATTCTTTCGTTTGAATTTAAAGGAGTAGGAAGATTATAATATCAAATCAAAGATCTTAACTTTTTTTTTATACTCTTTCCATTCTGATTTTTTTATTCACCACTGAATTACCATTTATTGTTTTTGTTGTTGTGCAAATTTTTAAAACTATCTCGTTCAAAAAAAAAAAAATAGAAATCCATATATTTTGAAAGAATACTTTAATTAATCAAATAATTTACGATAAAATTAGAAAATCATATGTTTTTCTCTGTATGCTTAATTTATTTGCATATGGTACGACCAAAAAGTATTTTTAATGGGAGTGGACATACGAATCTTCCATTCATAGCTCTACGTAAACATAATCCAATAACGTAATTATATCCAAAGAAAAAGGACGTCCAATTACGTATTATGTCAAAAAGAGGAAGAAAGATAGCTAGAGACCAAGAAATCTACATCCGTTAAGCCTTCATTGTCCATGGCCGGGTGGCAAGTAATTATCTGTGAGTGGATAACTGACCGGGTCCCAGAGGCAGTTAATGTTTGATCTGTTCAACGAAACTGAACTAACCGTCAGCCTACTTGTCCAAGAAATTTCTGGTCCGTGCATGCTTTAACAGACAGACCTACGTACCAGTGTAGAATTTCTCCATGTATCTATTTAATATATATACGTACGTAGACAACATTTATGGTTAATTTTGGCGTGGATATTATATTTTTGAATCAGATGCATGGAAAGACTAAGTGAATTCGATTTTGATATGAAAAACTAATCCGACAGTACCTGGAGATCAAAAACAAAACAAATATGTAGAAAATTACGAGAATAAAAGTCTGTTTTAATTAATTAGTATGTTAGACAAAGCTAGAAAAATGGAACGGGACAAGTAAATATTTTTATTTTGTGATTGATACACTGGACATGATGAAGTTTCATCATTTTGATTCTTGAATTTTTTATTTTATTTTCATAACATTTTAATTAGTTCTTATTTAACTTTTTTTTTTGGGTATATATGCAATTTATTCTTTAAATTATATAAAAATTGCAATTATACTCCCACATGTAAAAAGTTATTAATTTTAGTAGAATATAGGTAAACTTACTTGAACTCGATCGATCGATCGAATTAAAAAAAAAGAGTGATAAATAAATAATAAATAATAAATAAATGATAAATTTGTTCATGGCATTGGGAAATTTTGTCCACACCATGTTAAGAGAAGAATCTTGCTTTTAGAATAATTTTGAACAAAACATGTATTGCAGAACTTCTCATGTTATATCCAATAT